CAGTTCCATCAGAGGTCTTCATGAGTCCACCTGAACCCCAGGACCTGAGACCCGAGAGATTTGGATTCACATTTTATACGTTCCATGAGATCCTGTTCTAATGTTACGGGTTCCTGGTCTGTTTAACTTTATGTGTAATACCTGAGTGGTTCCAAGGAGACCCTGCTGTGATTACACAGCGCTGACCAGGATGGAACCATGTGTGTTTGAGCGTATTGTAACTTGCAGCACTGCAAAACCAGATGACAGAATATTAGCCATGCTAACATTAGCAGGTTTGGCAACAAATGAACAACCGTTATTGGAGTTCAAAAGGGTAAACAGTCGAAATCATCTTTATTATGCAAGATAGAACAAAACAGTGCAAAGCTGATCCTAAATGAGTCACCTTGTCATGCGTCACCATGGCAGCAAGTGGAGCTAAAGTAAAGATTCTTGAGTGGTTATGGTACAGACCGAATGGGCGCAAATGGCTTAAAGTAATGAGTCACTGATTTGATTCCTGACCTGCCCAGACCCACTGGTTTTTGTTTTCTATCTTTCTTCATTGTAGTTATCAAATAAAGGCAAAAATGTCAAAAATAAATAAATAAAAATAATATTAATAATCTTATTTAAAAATGGATTAACCATGCTGTCTCAATCAGCAAGAGAGGAATAACAGAAAACCTGGATGTATTTAACCAACTTTTTTGGCAAGGACGATGGATTTTATGCACCCTGGCCAGGCACAGGGAAGGCTGCTAAAGTTACATTTACAAGGTTTTTTAACAACTTGTAAATTAATGTTAACTTTTTAATCGCAATCAGCTGTGAAATCGATGCCAATTGGGTCTGTGTCTCCTGCTGGGGTTTGATGCTGGAATTTCTCTGTCCTGCATGGATCTGAGTCTCAGCTTTCAAATAATACAAGGGTTCAGTTCAGCTCCAGGTAATACACTTTGTATTAGTCTTGGGTTGAATTTTTGAAGGTTTTAAAGAACTTTGATTTTCATTGATTTAGACAAGATTACATTTAGTTCACATAATCTAGCACCTGAGCTAGCTATATTTGCTTAAAGAAGATGTGGCTGAGCAGCATTCATGATCAGATAAGAACAGTAGGATTGGAAAAGTCTGCAAAATCATAGACAGCAAGTGTCAGCAAAGGATTGTGCCATTCTTTCTACACTATGTATGCATGACAACTGCAGCATGGTTAAGCTGTGGTTGTAGTGAGGTTTAGACAGAATTGTGTATATGTCAGTATTGGACATAAATCAAAGGCATGCACAAGATTTAAACTTAGCATCTTGAGATAATGGGCTTGGTCAAAAGCTCTGCAACATTAGTAAGTGGATCTTTGAGCTGAAAGGTTTCTAATAAAAAAAATAAAAAATTAGCTATGCATTTGGAAATGGTCAGCACAAAACATGTGGTTATGTGTTAACTGCAATCACAGCGCTAAAACTTGCAAACCCACTGATACAGTCCTTATAATCCAGACATTTCTTGGCGGTTCCCAGTGTTGGGGTTAAGTCATTACTGACAGGGATCTTCACGGAGGTCTGCTGGGGTTTTGGAGAGTCTGTAGTGATTTGGACATAGCAGCACACAGTAGCTCCTGGGTAAAACTGACAGGTCTATTACCGCCTATCTCCTCAGCAGGCGGATATGCACCCTTGAGCCAGTGATTATGACTTCTATAACAAGCCCTTCAATATCCTTGCAGCAAAAACATGCATGCAGACACAGACACACACACACACACACACACACACACACACACACAGACACACATGCTCAGTGGTTGATTTATGAGCTTGAGAGCCTGGAGGTGGGAAGCAGTGCGTCGTCCCCCAGACATGTTGACCAGAGCATGAGTTATCGAAAGAAGACAGGGAGGCGGGCAGCACTGTAATTAACGCACTAAATACATTAGGCTGAAAGATCCCACAGTACATCAACAGGGGATGCACTGAGAAATGATTTGGCCACTTAGTCCTAAAGCATCTGTGTCGAGGATGATTGTGTAAATGACGGAAGCGATTCAAAGAACATCTGATTCATAAGGCCCTGGCAACACATGAGAGATTTTTTGGGTTGTTTCCCAGTTGTGAAATCAGATTTCAGATGCTTTATGTATGAAAAAGAAAACATTTAACCACTATCAAAACAGATAGAGGGCTTTGCTTTGGTCTAAATTAATAATTTGATGAAAGCAGGCTCCTCCAATCAGCTGTATCTTAAAGCAGTTTTTGGTGTTTAAATGATAAAGCAGGCTCGCTGCAGATTTAGATTTTACTGTACGGAATGAATTGATCAGTACGAGGGTAGCACAATGATCCATTCTTAGACATGTAATCAGAATCAGATTAATACACTGAGATTTGAAATAAATTAGATAAAGTTCTGTCGGGGTCACTCGGCAAAACACATGAACCAAACCACTTTTAGCACAACACAATGGAGCCTCAGCTTGTTGCCGGTAAAGGAAGTGTCAGTACATATTCCTGGTAAATTCACTGCTAGTCTACCAACCATATTACCACAATTTGCCTATTTCAGTCATTTCAGACAATGTAGAAAAACATATTAAGGAGCGTATATTCCCAATTACTTCTCAAAGGTTTTCTTATGGTACTCACTCCAAACTGGAGTTTAAAAACTACAGCTTTCACACTGTATCACCCATTGTATTATGAAGTCTAATGATTAGATTGGATAGAACTTTATTGATCCCTTTGGTAGGGTACCTCAGGGAAATTGTTATGTCTGTTTGATTTCTATTTTGTAATATTTTATCAATGCAAAGCTAAAACTTTTACCACTAATCTTGCTCAACACATGAATCACAGCAACAGCTACACTTCTTTAAACATGCACTTCAAATAGGAGGCGATCCTCCTCCACTGCCAAAGATGACTCTCTTCAACTGTTACGGAAGACAATGGGGTGCATTGTGCATGCTGTCGAAAGCATCCGCCTTTGTTGACTTAGGTAAGACCCGCCGTTGCTGCTGCACTCAACGTTTAGAGATAACTTCCTCTGTCATAACACAAAAGCGGCTGAAACACTGTGAGCCACTCCTCCTCTCACATCAGCCCCTGCTAATTACCTGAGCATACGCTAAGCTGACAGGTGAAGGTGTGCGATGGATGTCTTAGTGGGTGGGGGAAAGGGGCTGCCCAGGGTTGACACCGCTCCACTCTGGTGACCTACAGCTGAACTTGGACCTGCAAGAAAATAACAGGTTCTCCAATTAGGCCGCCAGTGTCTCACCGCGGGGCTGTTTCTGGAAGTCTTCCTTACCTCGCCACACAACAATTAGCCTTGAGGAGCTCCCCGGCCTGTGGAGGCTTGCAAAATGTGGTTCCTTCAAGACCTGCCTCCTTGCCTGCCAGCCAGGGCCTCTGTTTTCACAAGGATGTTTAATAGGAAAATGTTAGCACTCATTCCCTCCAATTAACGCAGATACACTGTACCATTTCCAAAAGCCGTTGTTATTTTAGTCTTAATTCAACCAGGTGGTGAGGCTGAGTCACCGCTCTTTCTACATAAGCCTGGCAAATTGTACGGCCAATTTTGAATAATCGATGTTTAATATATTCTGAACAATTTGCTATTGTATGCACCGATAGTTGTTAGCATAAATTCTGATGCACGATGTGAACCAGGCCCAGGCAGTTGGACTTGTTCAGTGAAGTTTAAGCAGTGGGGACAACTAAAGGGTAATAACTAATACGATGATATAGAAAGCACTGCATTGTTTGAAGGAGACCGTGCATGTTTTTTGTGGCTTGTTATACGTATGTGCTTTAGTGACAGACTTCATTATTGTTAGTAGTAAGACTGATAACTAGAAAATGATTCCAATCTACTTTAAACAATATTGTTTTTTAACAATTTTAGCAATGCTATAAAAAAAAAAAAATTCTTCCATGATATTTTCTATCAGACAGATGTGTTGTTTGTTTCCTATTCTTTAATGTACATATTCACCTTTGTTTAATCATGTTCCATGCTGGAATGATGGTTGTGCTACTATTTAACCTAAAGGGGAAGACAGAGATAATCAGAAATGTCTTTTAGATTTTTAGAAATAATTTGCAGTACATCAGTAAAAAAAAGTAAAGATCGAAGGTTCTCTGTTCTGTTAAAACTAAGACAAAGCCTAATATTTATTAAAACGTTTTAAACAACAACCTACCTTAAGTTTTGGGTTGTGTGTGTGTGTGTGTGTGTGTGTGTGTGTGTGTGTGTGTGTGTGTGTGTGTGTGTGTGTGTGTTTTGTATTAAAGATCTTTAATTTATTCATAGAGACTGAAAAACCTAAAAAATGGAAATCATTCTTCAAGTGTGGGGGCTTCTGCTGGTGAATATTTGAAACATACTTAGAGTGTTTACACAAGGCGTTAAGGCACGGCACACATTACTCAATGCTAACGTGCGCTGTTTGCTTTAGAAATCATCCGTGTCCGGTATCAGTCAGGAAAGAAAAAAAAAAATACACCATAGAATGTTCCACACTTGGGACACGGAGGAGCCCTTATTTGTTCTACAGGCCATCGTGTTCACTGCACAGATAAAGATGATAAATGTCACAACATGGAGTGCTTAAATGCTTTGTTCAGTTGAATGTGATTTATGGTGAACTTTGACTACAGTTAATTCATCCTCAAAAGCTCCATCAGTGATGGATCTGCCTGAACTCCAACCTGCCACAGCTACTGTAACTGCTTGATTTACACACACTTAGCATGACGTGACAGTACTTTGGAAAGTCATATAAAAGGATCCTGTAGGATGCTTTAATTTGTTGATGAATTGTTGTCATTGCGTTTGCCAAAACAAACAAGCAAGCACACGTTCTGGTCACATATCTGGTTGCCAAAAGTGCAAAGCATTTGACATTTGAAGTTCAAAGTGTAATCTGGGGATCGGAATATAAAGTAAAGACAGCACTGCATCGATGAAACCAAATGTAAAGCACTTGCATCATAATAACACCAAGCACAACATCAATGGTAGATATTTTATTAAGTGTATTTAAATACATAAACACACACTTGTATATAGTAAAAATAATTTTACACAAACCTAAAAAAACAGCAAACAAGCTTACCAAACAAGCATTATTTACATCAGAAAAATACTGCACTTTTCATATGAAACAATGACGAATAAAAATAAATCTGTATAATTTCAAAAAGTGAAAATTACAATTCTTTGACAGGACAGAGAGTAGAGTTTTAAGGTAATAGAGAAGTCACTGACAGGCAGTTGAAGACAGTGTTTTGTTAATGCAGGTCTAACATACCGATTGCTGTACTCATGCAAAGCCTGCAGGCTGAAAACGTCTTTGAGATTTTAAATGTTCAACATTTGCTGTGTATCTCTGGCACAGGCTATGATTTATTCCCTCTGTGAATCACAACGGCTTAAGAGTCTTAGTGCCCTCGTGGCTGAAAGTCATCCTTACTCCCGTGAAAGAAGAAAAAACAAAAATCTAGGACGGCTGAAACATTGTACATATAAACTATTTTAATCCAATTTAAAAGAGCAATTAAAAATACTGTTTTACATATATATCCAAAGACCATATATTTTATACTTTATACATATTTCTACAGTATGTTACAGTGTATGTCTTGGCAGAAATATTGATTTTCAGCTTTGAAAAAACTAAAAACGAAAGCTTCGCTGAGCAAATAATGAACAAATTTTTGCCAGTCTGAACACAGAAGTTTCCCTTTTCTAAACTGTACAAACCTGTCTCCAAATACAGCACGTATAATCAGAAATAACTGTAAAAAAATATACTGCATTCGATGGTGACTTTATCAACACTTTAAAAGCTTTCCTCTGAGACTAGCAAGGCACTGCAGCCATTTCATATATCAGCTTTTGTCAGTGATTTGTAATACAAAGATACATAGATACACCACAGTAAGGCAATGTCTGATATTTTGGCAGCTTTGAGGACAGAGAGTTGTATGTGATCTCTCACAGTTGAAAAGCACAATAACGTGATGATGCATGATACATGTCACTATGTTGTGATTAAGGCTTGACTGACCTGTTTGGATTTGACAGATTTACACTCCTTATACTATGGACCACAGTGCAATCGTGTAGATTAGCTCTTTGTATGGCACATGTTCCAGTACAGAAAAAATACAAGGCTACACTGGCTAGAGACTGGACACCTTCAATGGGCATCCAGTCCAAATTGCTAAAGCAAATGGCTCTAAACACCACACAGGCTTTTTACAGTGATCCTGAGGCACTATTTGTTTTCAGGTTGGCATTAGTCTTTGGTTGGTTTGTTCTTGCTTAGCTGGCTGCGTGAGTTTCTGACATAAGGTGTGGCAGCTCTTGCTCAGATCCCTCCTTTGCTCCGTTTGGATTTTGAGTGTCTGAACTGAGATCCTGAGGTTCCAGCTGAGATGCACCTCCTCCGTGAGCCAGCGCTGCTTCCTCGGCCGCCCTCCTCACCCTCTCCTCCTCCTCTATCTTCATTCTTCGTTCTTCGGCCTCTATTTCCTCTGTGGTGGGAATGGAGTTCTTCTTGGGTCTTCCCTTGGGCTTAGTCGGGGCCTCATGACCTCCTTTGAGCACCTAGAATAACACACAGACAGCCTTAGTGGACTGCTCTGGTAATAGATGGCAGCAGAAGTCAAAGGCAATGCTTGCTATTATAGTAATTAAGAGAAGACATATTGCTGCTGGCTGCGCCTTGTGCACTCATTTATCTTTAACGATTTCAGGTCTTTTTTGTTCTCCGACTTGTTGACCCTTCTACAAAAGTGTTTGCTCTCACTGCCGTCATCATCAGTCACACCACACTTTGCCTTTCCACGCCCTCTCTTCCTGCCATATTGCTATCTACCATTTGCCTTTCTCATTAAAATAGTGACAATATTTATCGTAACACTTGGTTAGCAGTGAAATTACAGCTGTATTTTTGGAAGTCCCCAGAATGACAAAAATAACAATAAAATAACTGCTCAGAGGATTTTTCCTCCATTTCTTTCCAACCATTATTGCCACTCGTGAAAGAAGCACTTATTCTGACTCATTTATTCTCAAGTGGCATGTACAAGTGGTTTAAAAGAATTAGTGCCATTCACCAATTTTTTGGAAATTGAATGTTTCTATGAAATACAAAACAAAACCCTTGAGTGGACCAACCTTGTCATATGAGACATGAACAGATACTCGCATTTCTCCACAGGAGAAAAAAATGCATGAAAGTTGTATGCTTTATTTCAAATGAAACATATAAACAACATGATGATTTTGTTTACTATATCATCCAGGCTTGCAAAATAAATGATTTGTTTCAGATTTTTCCTGACATACGTTTGTTCATAACAACTCTCTCACTTTGATAGCTGCTTCAGGGATTTTGTGCCACTTCAAGTCACTGTGTAAGTTAATTTGTTTTTAGAAATGAACAGCTTACATCATTACTTGCAATGTTAATATATTTTCATTATTTCTGGTTCTCCAAATAAGAGAGTTTGTTGAATCGGACGCAAGAAAACTATATACTAAAAAGCAAGAGAGATGTAGAAGAATGTGAAAGTGTTTTTGAAAGTTGCCCGTTGTTCCCAGGCTTGTCTGGCTTCACTGCAGCACTGTCACTTACCATTTTCTTCCACTTCATACGCCTGTTTTGGTACCATGTCTTCACTTGAAGCTGTGTGAGACCGAGGGACTGAGCCAAGTCTAACCTGCAGAATCACACACAAAAACGTTGCACATTAGTTGAATACTTTAATGTACTTTTTGAATTACCTTCCTGGAATCTACTCAGGTTCTATACCATGTTATTTGCATGCTTTAAAAATCACTGTCATCACTCTTTCCTCAGCTAATGGAAAAAGAAGAAAAAAAAAGATACAAATCTTGACACTAATTGTTGTCTTTTGCAACAAGTATATGGTGCAGTTTTACGCCTAAAGGTTTCCAGCTCTGCAGAATTAAATACAGTATAAGACCACACTTAAACCCTTAATTCTGTCTGTGAATGTCATATCAAAGATGATGCCAGTAGCTTGAGTCTGCACACCTGCAGCTAAGGAAGCAGTGTTTGAAAAATCTGTACTTAGGTTAGTAATCCAATCACAGCACTTGTAGCTGGCAGTTGGAGAAAATTCTGAATGCATCCACCACATGTGGTGATCCATGACTAATAGGGCTATTGGTTGGTGTGTAATGTGAAACCTCAGGAAGGGACAGATAAAGTGAACAAGGCATCCGTTTGTAAAGGAAAGGAGTGGTTATCGGGTTGTTTTTTTTTTTTTTTTCTGTTTTTAAATGAGATTTCCTCTTCCCTGCTCTGCTCTTCTCAAGGTCTTTAACAGTCAGATGAAGGTTTTTTTCACGTCCACCGCCCCCCAGGGAAAGGGGCCGACTTTCATTTGATGGTGAAAGTGGAAGCCGAGATAGAGAAGAGGAGTGAACAAAATGTAAAAAGCAGAGCAACAAAAAAAAATCCCTGAGATTCACAGAGCAGTCTACATGACCTTATACCTTACATAAAGGGCTGCGCGCATGTGTGTGTGTGTGTGTGTGTGTGTGTGCTTCAAAAAACACCAGACATGAAGGCAATCAAACTGTCTCTCAGACTTCACTGTCATACGTAGGCCAGTCTGTTGCAGGGCAACAACTGGAGGCAAGGAAAAGTAATTGCAGAAAAGGAAAACACCCCAATTATTTATGGTCATTAGCTCTCAGTGTAGAGAAACCACACACTCACAGCAGTAGAAACAATATTTAAGTTACTCCCTCCAGGCCACCATTCGCACCCTTTTCACAGGGGAATCTTGGGTGTAACTGAATACCTTTTAATGATGATGAGGAGGACGATGATAAGGATGATGATGACAGTGATGATTATTAAGGCGCTAATTATTATAATTGGAAGCTGCATAAAATCATTATTGCCCTATGATATAAATAATTAAGAGTCTTTTTTCACAGATATTTTTGGTTTAGGTTCCACCCGCCCACAGACATATTCTCACTTTAAGACCGCAGTGGTTCCAAGCCAAGAAAAGGAAGAGAGGAGTTAAGTTATCTTTGGATCACAACAAACCTAAGTGGGGAGCATGCCACACCTTTGATGTGAGGTTTTAAAAGGGGATTTTCTCTGTTGATGTTTTTCCACCAGCTGGGTATTTAATTAATTTTCAACACAGTGTCAGAATCAGATATTTTGACAGGACGCAGGATTTTGGCACAGCTATTCACATGGGTGGTTGGTTTTGATCACTGAGTTGTGCTCTGCCTCGAGGCTTCTGCTTTAAGACGAGGCATGGCGGCTTTCCAATGGCTCTTGGCAATCCAAGATGTGATATATTTAATAATGCATCGTGGGAGTTTTCCCCACGGATGGGATGTAAATGGAACGACAAATAAATCTGGTTTATTCCAAATATGCTAATGTCTTTTCATATTAGATGTGGTGAGCAACTACATTGCAAAAAGGTTACAATGTTTGTGACATCTGTATAGAAGAGTACCTATTTGCATGTCTAATTGCATGAACATATTTGACGTAAAGCTACTTATTTATGTTTTGAACCACCACTCCGTAACCACATATGGAACATGCATAATGGGATGTAGGTGCAAAAGAATGCAATCTCTACTTGATGCAAAGGTTCACAAGCAGTCTAAAATTTCTACTGCAAATGCGAAGGAAACCTTTTTTACAACATCCATGGTTCAATACTATTCTGGGTTATAATGGAAAAGCAGCCTACAGGCCAAGTATAAAAGTGAGGTCAACAATAAAACTGGAAAATATGGTCTAACCTCATGTCAGGTCCCAAAAATGACCCACAGAATGGAACTTAAGACACAGATATTAACATATAGATTACGTCATCTTATTGTAGAAACCTAAATGTACTTTATATACACCTGCACATGTGTGAAATGATTGGCAGTAAATCAGTGTAAAACATTTTCTGTTTGCTTGTGTTGGCCACTGTCCCTATTTTCCTGAATAAGTCAGTGTTTCTTTGTTGGGGCTTTTTGCTGTTCGAGCACTTAGGGTTAAAAACGTTACTCTTGTCTCAACTGGAATGCTGAGGTAATGCTCTGGCTTGGACAAATTCACATTACATGAGACATTCCCCACAGGATAAATCAAAAATTATGATGTTAGGTTAACCACTGCTTGATAATTGCATCTGTGGCTTTGTGAATGCGCTTGTGTGTGTCAGGCGTGTTCTGTGCTTTCAAAATGTGCTCTATGCAAGTTATGCAGGTTGTCAAAGCGTTACAGTCGAGTGACTCTGATAGATTTAATAACCTTGTATCTATTACCTTTAACACATCAGTGGTTTGCTCTCTTTCATGTAGTCATCGAATCTTCTTTGGTAGTTGTGAGGAGCATTCCTGATTTACCACTTTTCAGTGATTTGCTTTTATGTGGAGCGGTAGCTGCCATTGTGTGAATGTGTTTTCCTGTACAGGCTTCTAATTCTAATCAACCTGAATCAAGCTAATCAGATGTAAGTATCTGAGCCATACTGACCTATCAGGTGTGGACAAGTACTTCTGCTTCTGGAACTTTTTCTCCAGGCCCATCAGCTGCAACTCGGTGAAGATGGTGCGGCTGCGTCGTGGCTTCTTGAGGCGGGGTGTGCTGTGCTCATTGTCCGACTCGCTGCTGATGCTGAGGGGTGTCTGGCTGGGTGAGGGCTCGGAGCCTCGCGGATGCTGTGGGGAGAGCAGGGGCAGGTGCGAGTGGACCGCGCCCGGGGAGGACGGTTGCGGGAGGTGGGGGGGCAGGTTGGGCGGCTGCCGTGTGATCACTGAGAGGAGGGGGTAGGCACGTAGTGATGAGGAGCCTGGAGGATCAGGGACAGGGAGTGTCAGAGTGACAGAAACATAAAGACATACTTTAAAGTCCAGTGATTAGATTAGACATCACTCTGAGTCATTGTTCAGTTTTTAGTGAGCTCCTATGAACTCCTCAGTCACCTTGGTTGTACCGTTATCGACCGGCTGTAATTGCTTGGACAGGTTCATTTTTAATTGACCACAGTTTGCCGTGAAAAGTGTTTTGGTTTTGACCTCCTCCATGTAGAGGGCTGTGATCCCAATGACGCAGGCTGTGTTTTACACTGATCCTCTGAACCCTTCAAATGAATGATTATTTTTCAGAGGTTGTTAAACACTAACTGGCTTCCCAACACAAACCACTTCATGCACACAATGACCCTGACGTACATGCACACACACATATTCAGACACAGAATGAGCTGTAATAAAATCTAAATCCTAAATCAAACATTGTTCAACTAATAAACTTTTTTTTTTTCCCCCTTGAATTCTCCTCCACTCTTTCATGCAGCTCTGTACAAGTACGCACACACACACATTTTTGCTCTTTATCAGAGCAGACAGAAGCAGCAGACGCCAGAATCAATAAAAAGCAGCACTTGTCTGGAGCCTGGGCAGGAGGGATGGAGACCTGGAGGTTGGCAGAGAGGATGCAGTGGGTCAACCAAAGTGAATATAATATCTTCCAGAAAAATCCTCACAGCTTCAAATATAAAACCAATCCATAAAGCAAAATTTACAAGCAAGCTGAGCACAGCGCAGGCTGTAATGTATGGGCTGATAAGGAGCAGTGCAGAGGACGAGAGGGGGGTCATAGGGGGAGGATGAGGAAGATATAGAAGGTGATAAAAGGGCTGCAGTGTAGCATGTGTGTCCTGGTTGTCTGTGGTAGATCTGTCTCTTTAATCTCCTCATCAACCAGCAGACAACTTACACATAGACACATATACACCAGTGCACACAGAAAAGAAAAAAAAAAGAACGCTGTCATTTTTATCACTTCTAAGAGTTTTTGGTGTTGCTTAAGACTAACATGAAAATATGTGGCACAAAGGTGAAGAATAAAAGAAGTGAGTAGACTCATAGAAAAGAAGGTGCAACATGTCTGGCTGTCTAATCTTACAGAACAGTGAGGAATGAATACAGAGGCTTACGCATATAAACTGTGCACAAATTCAAAGTAAACCCTGCTATGAGATGTAAGTCAAGCATGAGCAGCGTAAGTACTGCATACAGGTAGCCACAGTTGCTCTGCACACACGTACACGTACACACCAGACACTGCCTTGGGCTCACCATGACATCATGCTAAGGCACTGAGGTCATCACTAATCCTCAAATGTTAGATTGCTGGTATTGCTACAAGTCTAGACAAGAAGACCTCTTCTCTCTGGTTGTACGCTCATGCTCTCCATTTATACGTTTTCCAGACTGTTCTCATCCTTTCTGATCATTAATACAGATCTGTATCATATCAGATCTGTATTCATGATCAATGAATCATCTGCATTAAGGCTTGTGCTTCTTTATATGAGGAATTTTACACAAACACTTGTTGAATTCTAAATCATCGATTGGTATAAATATGAAGGGACAGTGTCACTCATGCCTTTCTGAAAAGATGAACACACCTCAGTTTGTCTTCACAACTGTCAGGAAATCTCCTGTCAGCAAAGAGCTTGAAGGTGTCTCCAGACAGCCCCCCAGAGGGAGACGAAAGAGAAAGAACGAAAAAGAGAGAGCGAAGAGGGAAATGTCAGCCCCCATGGTGACTTTCCACTGACAGCGAAACCATCTCTCTGACATGTTGTTGACAAGTGCCAGTGTCCTGTCAATAGTCTACAAATAAACTGTTTGAGTAGCTGCAAGAGTGCAACTCTGCCCCATGCAAAAGCACACTGATACTCTTGATAATCACAGATGGAATGTCGGGACTCGCACAAGTGCTTATAGTAACCATTACAGAAGAAATACCTGCTAAGAATAGATCAAGAAGAGCAGTTTGTGAAGCCTTTCTTTTAATAACAACTGATTTCTCTATTGATAACGCAGTCAGTTATAATGACAAAATTCTTATCAAACAAGTCCTATTTGTTATCACTCTTACAAACGGAAGAAGAGGATGTTATTTTTACAACTGACAAACAGCATTGACGCCACAACTCGTAGATGGTGTACAGTATTTCCTCCAACCATCTGCTCCCTTTTCATAACATTTACACGTTTCTCTCGCTCTTTCTTTTTCAATGCAAAGCTGGAATGGATGATTCATCGCTTGGCTATGAAAAGTGTACGTGAACTTTTCTCGTGTTTTGCTTATAAACTTTCTGGTGACAACTGTAACGCCGCTCATTTAAACTGGTTTTTCCTGATCAGTCCTGGCTCATTGCTTTATTTAGAATTATTTGCTTTTAGGTTATGACAGATGAATGGAACTGAGTGACGCTTGTTGAGAGCAACTTTTTTTTGAGTCTGACGGTAATGGTAAATTCTCCAGATGAGTGCCTCCGACCAAATCTGAGCATTTAGCAAAAAAGCATTACTATAAACATGTTAACTACTAGAGTTAATCTGAAACCTGATCCACACAAGTGGCAGCAGAAATCAGCCCAGCATAAACTACTTTTAGAGCTGATTTATTGCTTATCCGTTTAAGAGACAGAGAAATATGATGGCAGTACTGGAATGACAGGCAGATGACAGGCTGTCAAACAATATCCTTAACTCAAGATGGAAGATGTGTGCACATTTTGTCCTTGTGTGTGCGCATAGTTGCCTGTGTGTGTTGACAAGGGTGTAATCAACCTTCTCAAGACGACTTTATGCTTAATGGGAGATTTTATTGTCTGCAGTGGATTAGGGTTTAAGATGGGATGAAAACCCCTTTGCTCACTTGGATTTCTCCTATAAGCTCTCAGCGTGTACCAAAGCAGTATGCAGCAGCCCTCAGGCTTCACACACTCCTCCTTTTTTTTTTTTTCTTTCTTTTTTTCCTGTTTTTATTTTTCATTCTGCTGTCAGGTGAGATTACACCACAGTTGATGTTAATCTCTCTCACCTCTTCCAGAAAACACCACTAAAAGCCCTTCCCTGGGTCCTGCTGAGAGATGGGACGCCAAATGAAATATTGTAACCTGCCATTACGTCTGTTCAGCACCAGGTCAGGGCTCATTGTCTCTTGCTGCAACTGACAAGGAATTAGCTCCATTAGTATTAGTCACGTTCATTGTATAAGAGTAAGGACAGCATTTCATTTCCCAATTGACTTAAGGATTTCAGAAACTTGATTCACAAAAATCTCACAGAACATGCAGGACGAACATGGAGCTGGTATGTTTGAGTGGAATTATTGGGAACACTGTCTTCCAGCGGCCTCCACTGGCAGCAGGAGGTTATAACACCCCTTCCTTTGCAGAATGAAGAAGTCAACTTTCACTGTTTGGAGGCCAAGCAGGGGCCAGCCACCTCTCTTTGGCCCAGGACCTATAAGCCTGCCAGCTTCTATATCAAGCACTTAAAGCCATTGATGTTGGGGAATATACTGTGTCTCACACCCCCGCAGCTACAAATAAGTGGTGGGCACAGTGTTCTGATATGCAGGGTGGGTTACTCTATCCATCCGAACAGAGGGGTGCCAAAGCCCAGTCATAGTGCCCTCTAGCATACAGCAATCCATATCCGAGGGATGAGGGAATCGCTTCCCCTATTTTTATCCACCCATCGCTGTCATCATCAAATTGCAGTGGCTATTATTTCAGACTTTGGAGCAATTATCCTAATGGTTACTAGAGTGTGCAATGGCTTTTGAGTTGTTTGGATTCACAATTAAGAGTCAATCAAGAGGTATTGTTTTGGTAAGATAACATAATGTGCCATCTGAGCTTTGTCATATTATACTTTGTTAACTTTTAGTAAGTACAAGACACGTCTAATGGACTGCTTTCATAACAGATGCAAATGATCTATCTATCTATCTATCTATCTATCTATCTATCTATCTATCTATCTATCTATCTATATCAATCAGATAATTACAAAGGTAAATGAGATAATAAAGCATGAAATTAAACAAACAATACTTAATATCTAAAGGAAACTGCATTTAAACGACTGATTTACGTCATTTTTAAAAGTCATTGCCTTGTATTTCATCCAGTGTTCGTAAATATATATCAGCACACTGTGTTATTTATCTTTTATCATTGTTTCATTAAGGTGATTCTACTCACTACACTGTAAATTATATATTTCTTGCAAACAGCTTCGCTTTGTTCTGGGTCACATATTTGCAACATACAACCCTTAAATCTGTAGACGTGCAGCAGCAGCAGTAGCAGAAGTCATTATGGAAGGCCTTTGGCTTAGCAGAACACTCTAACAGTCTTACTAATGAGACCAAATAAACTAAAGATTACAGCTTAGCTCCTGTGGGCTTCTAGAATGAGAATTTTCTTCACCTTTCCTATCTGTCCTACTGCCTCTTGGTTAACTTCTATGTATAAGTACAACAACTTATCAGTTCAGTCATTTATCATCTTGAGTTCAACAAAAGCCCTTAAGCATCACTGCCATTCACTCCAGCGCATGTCTTTGAACCCTGAACACCCAGCTGCTCTGAGTTATAATATAAAGTAGAATACAGTGAGGAAGGTGAGCAGTTGTAGCAGAAAGCAGAAATTAATTGTGAACAATTTTAAACTGCTCAATGCAATAATTGCCTAAATCCATCAATGTGAGATAATAAAAGAAGCAAATGACATCGGTACAGATATCAATATTTCCATTTGCACAGTTGGATGCATGGGGAATGATAATTTAAAAATGACTAATTACAACTTAATGGCACCACAACACAATAGCTGTCATCAGAGCAGCGGAGCGGCCCAAACACCTCCATGCAGACGTCCAGTTTCAGCCGTCTTGTACAGGTACAAACTTTTCGCATCATAAATACCGTTTCCTCAGTCGTGCAACATTTAAATTAACTACAATTTCCAATTTAAACAATACATCTTACTAATACAGCTCACAATTTTCGTGAGTAAAAGAAAAAAACCTGAAGCCTATAATTCCACTTGAACTACTGAGTTTCTTTCTTAACAAGTCAACAAAAACTGAGTTATCTTACCCGAACATGAATGAAGAGGCTTTGGTCGAACAATGAGCGAAGGACACACCGAGTAGAGAGAAAGTTTCTCGAAATAATCACAAGTCTCCTTGGAGAGGATCTCGTCAATCATGAAAGTCTTGTAGCGCCGCCTGGCAGCCTTCAGCTGCCCGGGGGAGGAGAGCCTCAGCTCGGCTTGACAGTGCATGATCTATCCCTGTGCGCCGTGCGCTGTCTTCGCTTCGTAATGTGTCTGTTCAGTAATAATGTCTAAGCTTATGCAGGTTGAACCGTCTGGACAGGCGACTAGTGGCGTTCATACGTTTAAATAACTCATTGCTTGCTTTAAATGCAGTTTAGCTTTCCCTGAAGTGTCGTAGTGAAGATCAACAGCCAGCCTTCAACTTGAGCTGCGCACTGCGCCACAGTGGTAATGAAGTGAGTGCGCTGTGTGCGCACACCCCCTGCTATATAAACCATGTCCACTGCTGCATCTGCTCGCTCTCTCTCTCTCTCTCTCTCTCTCTCTCTCTCTTACAAACACTCTCATATACTGTACATACACATGGCCACCTCCCAAAAAAAAAAACTTCTTTTTTTTTTTTTATCTCCCTGTGATTCATTTTGCACATTACTAAGAACTTGTTAATCTACGTGTTGTTTCTTGTCCGAATTAGATCATATTTTCAGAAGTAAAACTAACATAACCAAAAGCCCATATTTAAACTATTGAAGGCTCTTTTAAACATCATTGTATTATCCAAGGACTTCAGTGGCTGTATTTTATTTCAAGTTCACTGACATCGCTTCGGTGTTTGAAATGTTTTATTTGCAATAACCGTCTGTAGATATTGATGAACCCTTATTTATTCTTACCTAAGACGATTAAGCGCATTTTCTTATGAATTTAATTAATTTATCCTAAGTTTGCTTTTGAGATACAGTACACAAACTAACAAACCAATTTCACTTTTGGAGTCAAACCAAAAGTGCAACACAAATGAATTAATCCGGTATGGAGGGTGGATGAACTTGTCGTTTATCCTTTCTTTATTCTTATACCTTTAATATATGTGTAGGGCTTGCGTCCTGTATCAAGAGTGAAAACACTTAGAACAAATACAAACAAGTACAGACAAGAATGTAAGTGTTGTGGTTTAGTGTGCGTTTTTTAAATACTTCACTAGAATTTTCATTATTATACATGATTTTAAAAAATAACTGTCGTATTATAAAATAATATTCGGTCTATAGCGATTGTTATTATTATTACCACCCAATTATACTTAAGAATAATAACAATATGTATAATTATTATTAATATAAGAATTATTGTTGTTGCAAAGCAGTGATTTCTTGTTGAAACAGCATAATTACAAAATAATAAAACGGCAAAATTAAAACAGTTTATAAAGAGACAAAAAGTCAGTTACTGTCTTTAGTCGAACAATTACTTTCTCAATAACCAGCCACTGTGTGCGCACGCATGGCGCGAGTTTACGCCAAAAACGCATAAAAGTACAACACATCTTAAATAAAAGACTGCGGAATAATACGACAAACTCCCTTCATTTCTTTTCTAAGTTTTTTTGTTTGTCCCAAAAGTTAGATTCGGCGTTCAACTGCTTGGCGAACAGGCCTGCATGTCAGTCACATCAAACAGGCTTGAAGGAAAACGTGGGATCAGTGTCGGCAGCGGACTGATCAGTGTTCCATCAGCGGGAGGAAAACGGCTGCATCACATACCGGCACGTTCAAGTCACTTTGCACAACCTTCCCACATGCTTTTCCCCCCGAAGACATTTATATTATTTTATTTTTCTGTTTTATTCTCTATAAACCCGCCTTTGAAGAACGTATATTATGCAGAAAACATATTTTATTTTAGCTATTATTTCTATCAGACTTATGTCCGATATTTGTAAGAAGAGAATGTATTTTTTTGTTTAAAGTGTTTGCTGTGTTTTTACACGTTGTTATTAAAATAAAATGAACAGCAGAAGGATGAATCGCCCGCTGCAGAAAGAGTTTCAAGCACTAAACTTTACAAACTCGATGTCTTGGGGGTGGGAAACAATTATGATCACAACTGGAAATAAATGGAACTCGCTGGCGACTTGCGCCTGCGAAGCCGCCGTGTTCAAAGCGCGGAGGATTATGGAGGAGGAAATGTGGGAGCTCTGCATGGGAAAGCTCGGCTTCTTTTTTAGAGGTTTGATGGCTTGATCAAAGAGGAGATGCGAACAACTGCTGCAGAGCTGTCTGTGGAGAACATCTCGCTTTTTAATCTGCTGGTGGAGAGCGCGTAAAGTAAGAATAGAACTTCTTTCTGGTGACATAATTACACTGTTTTTGACAACTTAACTACCCATAATATGTTGTGCCAAGTCACTGCAATATTTTTTTTCATCATTTATAAGTAATTAAGATTCATAAAAAAAAGAGAGACTAAAGTGAGTAAGGCCTAGTTACCGTGGCTCAAATGAACCCGACAACCTGAGCTGGGGCCAGGCTCCGGGAATCACGGCTGTAGGCATCTTGTCACTTGTGGTTTGCGCTGCGGGGCTGCTACAAGGGAGGGGAAGGGAAAAGGAGGGGGGTCTCCGGGTGTTTGGAAGTGGATCATTTCAGGAGACACGCTTCTATATAAGTCCACACAGCAGCGGCTACCGAGTGGCCTCTCTAATCCGCCCGCTCCAGGGCTAGAGACGCCAGGCAGATCAACCAATTAAAAGAGTTATGCCACAGCCAGGAGCGTAATAAGGGCCTTCCTAGTACTGACAACGAACAGAGGATACTCTCTATTAGAGCGATTTGGAAGCATCAGGATGCAATCAGACACCGGGCAGATTACAGACACTGCACAGGGCTTAGTTCAGAGGGTGCAAATACAGCTCCAGTTTTGGACACCGGGAGATTTATTGAGGGATATGGCTTGTCGATAGTGCGCAGGAGCCGCTGTTGGTGGCATAAGCACTTTCGGAAGGGTAGATTATGACCTCAGCACAGACATTAAAGGATTTGATCATCACTTTGTTATAAGCAAGCCTGCACAGAGACACTGACTGGGGCAGCAATGCTGAAAGGCCGATGCAACATGAGATGTTCAGGATCAAAGTGCTGGCAATTCTAGGATGGGACACTAGCCTACTTCTGTCACATCTGTAAACTGACCAAAACAAGTGCCATTCACCTAGTGTTCAGAAAACCAAGACGATCAAGACATCACTGTGTTCAATTCTAGTTAACAAGTTATCAACCTTAATTGCATGTTGTCAAGTGAACAGACTGGGTGACAAATCCAAGTAAAGACATGAAAGCATCTTAAATAGAAAGGTCAAATGTAGGAGCTGATCATGTGGCTCAGTTATATTTAACATCTTAATTGATTCAATGAAAGGATGTGTGTGGCGCCACCTGTAGATTACTTCTTAACCCGCTGCACAAGCATATTAGTTACACGTGGTCCATTTATAGGTGCAGATAAGGCCATGTGTGCATGCATTACAGCATGTAGCATCAACATACAATAGCTCACTTAGTTAACTTAGTCACATACACAAAGAGCTGTAAATAGCATTCATGGTGTACAGCCAAGGCCCCAGGCATTTACTTTGTGGCCAGATGAAAGACAAGGCAACAATCAAATGAAAGGAGCTTTATAGTAATGAAAATGTACATTTTAAAACAGTTTGCCTTACAGATCAGAATAAAAAAATAAAATAAAGCCCATTTTTGTAAAGAGCAAAGTCAACAAATCTAACAGTAAGAAAGGTTGGTGCTGTGTTGCAGTAAAATTGTTGCTGGTGGAATCTTTTTGCTGAAAATTGTTGTTCTTTTTTGCAAAGTACCTGACGAATCTTTAAAATTCAGAGAGCACCATTTACATATAACATAGAAAGTGGCCAATATCCTAACGTTTTTTTAAATACAGTTTTTTTTTTCTTGCCTTTCAAAAATGACTGCCAGTCATGTTGGATTTTTATCCTTGCTCTCATAACAATACAATCCCACCCCACAAAATATTTGCAACATCTGTGAGGAAAAGCTCACATGACATAAGTGTATAAATTTAAAAATGCCTTAAAAGTAAACAAAAAATGGCTTTTAGGCATGAGTTAACAAATCTTCAAGCTAGTAAGATCATGTACAAACAACCTGAGGATACATCATCATTCTGTCAACATAACTCATGATCTTCTTTAGAAAATGTCCACAAACTTATGAAGAACTAAAGTCTTTACAAGAAATCTTTTACATCTCAGTATCGCCGCCATCTGTTATCTTGGTAGCCGCGGTTGCTACCCCTGTCGTCATAGTGTCGGTTGCCGCCTCTGCCGTCATGGTGGCGGTTGCTGCTCCTGTCGTTGTGGTGGTGGTAGCTGTCCCTGCCGTGGCTGTGTTGCTGATGACGACCAGAACCCGACTCGTCCACGTAGCGCTGGCTTCTGCCACCGCTGTTCATCTGGGATGAATGATGCCGATAGGGGGTATTGTCATGCTGCCTCGAGCCACCTCCGCCAGAATTTCCACCTGCAGATGGTTGCCACTGCATAGGTTTGGAGAAGCCACCATTCAACTGCTCCAACTGCTGCATTTGAAGGTGATGCATCATGTTGCTCATCTACAGAAGAAGTAAAAGACAAGTAACAGTATTTGTGTTTTATACGATTCATTGAGGCCAAAAGGTTTCTATTACCAACATGTACATTTTTTTTATTTATCTATGAGGAACAAAGGCACACTTCTATCTAAAAAAAAAAAAAAAAGCAAAAGGCATGACTTCTTACATCTTACCCTAAATAAGGACTATGAATTCTGTCACCACTGTGTAGTGCTTTGATATTCTGAAAGTATAGAATGTTACCATGACATGCTTCTGTAGATTGTCAGGGGATGAAAAGGACCTCTGCATTTGGGGAGGAGTGTAGGGTGGAGAACTCAACTGGGCAGGGGTCCTGTAAAAGAAAAGCAACCATTGTCAAATATTTTCTTGTCATAAAAGACATGAACAATTAATGATGAACCCATTATTTATTTATTTAGCTTATTATTGTAATTCACAGTTTGACTTCATTTAACCTTTCTATTAAAAAAAAAAAAGAAAGAAAATTTTAAACCAGGGGTGTCGAAATCCGGTCCTCGAGGGCCGCAATCCTGCATGTTTTAGACGTTTCCCTCTTCCATCACACCTGATTCAAATGATCAGGATCATTATCAGACTTCTGCAGAGCTTGATGATGAGCTGATCATTTGAATCAAGTGTGTTGGAAGAGGGAAACGTCTAAAACATGCAGGATTGCGGCCCTCGAGGACCGCAGTTCGACACCCCTGTGTTAAACAATCAAGCAAGCAATAGCACTAATACAAAGGGCAGTACTACTAAAAGGTGACAAACCAATATTTCATTGCCCATGGTTCACTGGCAGGAAGGCAGGACCCATAAGGAGGGGACAGAGAATCATGGTTCTTATGTTCTATCATGCTACATTTAGAGTTGCCAAAAATAATTTTTTGAAATTAAGTTAGTATGACAGAACAAAAAGGTGAAACTAATCTGCAAGGGCACAGTGCATCATTTAGGGGCATTTTGGATTTAACGATTTCACATTATAGTAAAGGTCCCATATTCTGCCCTTTTTAGCAAATACATGAAAGTTTAACATGTTCAGAGAATGTGTCTTCACTTTTCAGCTCAAAATACTGCAAAGATGGTTCATTGAAAAGTTGTTTCAGTGTCTGTAGCTTCAAATCCAGTGGAGCTGCTGTTGTCTCTTCCCCAATCAGGAAGGAGACTGAATGACTGTGTGAGACCAGGACTTTTCATTGGTTCTAACTTTCTCTTTGTGCAATTATTTTACATGGAACTTTCTCTCAATTCACAGTACAGCTGTTGTTTCCGACTTATGTATAATGAGTTTGTCAGACAAAGTCGTGGTTATTAAATTAGTAGTTCAGTGGTGCAGAGCTGCAGCTTGGAAATGGCTACAAAGTGAGTGCCAGTCAACGTGTCTTAAAAAGTTGTGTTTCACTCTCTATTTCCAACTTGTTCTGCTGTCTGACAACACAAACAGAAAAAATATGTAAATGTGAAAAGCTTTCTTACAAACTCAGCTGGAATAAACTATAGTATATGCGAGAACTGAGAGCAGGAGCAAAGCAAACTGATGTAAACGCTGGCTGAAGCACAAAAGGTGATATGAAAAGACATTAACCCCACACAATCCCTGGTTATTGCTTTCACATCAGGCTGAAAGAATCCACCATTTCTGACTGTCATATAGTTTTACAGCTTTCACAGAGCTCTGACCTCTCAGGATGGAAGTAGTGTGCAATGTGCTAACATTTAGGATTTCCTATTGTGGTGGGACTGCCATGAAAATAAAAGTAATCAGGGTATAGTCCACAGTCCTGGGGTTGGATATACTAGATACCATTTCTTGAAGTTGGTTAGAGCTTTAAAAAATGGGCAAGCATAACAATGTAAACGTAGCTGATAAGGGGAGCATTGTGATGGCTAGACAACTGGGCTGGACAATCTCCAAAACAGCAGGTCTTTAGGGGTGTTCCTGGTATGCTGTGTTTGGTACCTACCAAAAGTGGTCCAAGGAAGCAGATATGGTGGCCTGATCTTATAAATCATGTTTTCTTAAATGTCGTGGGCGGCCGGGTGCATACGCACCGTTTACATGGGGAAGAGATGGCAGGAGGGTGCACTAAGAGAATAAGACCAGCTGGTGGGGGAAGAGTGATGCCCTGAACCATGTTCTGCTTGATACCTTAGGTTCTGGTATTCATGTGGATGTTATTTCTACACATACCACCGACCTAAACATTGTTGCAGACATATACAAGGACAATGTACCCTGCCACACAGAAAAAAATGTTCAGGAAAGGTGCTGAATTCCCCTTCACAGTCCTAAGATCTTAATCTGATACAGCATTGTGGCATATGCTGTAAAAATAAGTTCAATTTATGGAGGCACCAGTTGGTAACTTTAATGACTTAAGGGTCTGCTGTTGTTGTCTTGTTGTCTGATACCACTGGACACCTTCAGAGATGTTATAGAGTAAATGCCTCATTAAGTCCAGGTCCAATATTTGGCTGGTGGTTTTAATGTTGTGGCACATTAGTATACTTGCAGCTAATGTTGCTGTCAGTAGATTGTAATGGTAGTAAAGCTGCTTGCTAGCTTCATCCGCAGGTACTCAAGAGAGTTTGTTCAGGTATGAGTGACATAAATCTGCTCATCTAGCCAAGTCCACAAAAGTCCACATGTGCATGTATGGAATACTAATGGCAATCTATGGCAATTGTATGAAATGCATCCTCCAAACAGACTAGAAAGAAGCACATTATAGAACTACGTGTTTTTGATCGGAAAGTTTAACATAATTTAAGCACCATAAAATGACAAACTTGCAGCCATAACATATATCTACATTATTTGTTTTGAAACTGCCTAATTTTCATCTAAGGCCAATAGTTTCAACCTTTCAAGCAAATGCCCTAAACAGATGCTGTAGCATGAAATCTGGCATGAAATATGGAAAGGATTGCACACTCAGTCTTCTACATGTTTAAATACAGACCAGTCAAATCCTATTTAATGCAGCGTATTTTGCCAGACATCTAATTTTAGTGCAGATGGGACCGCCAAAAGCATGAAAAACTTACAAAGTAATATTTAACATGGAAGAAGCACCTTTGGGAGAATTAAGAACACGCACCAAGTCTGGTACCAGTTACAAACATACAGTAGCACCACATCGTCAAACTGTTAAGTACTGACAAAGAAGGTGAAGTCACAGCCCAACAGAATTGGTGTGCATTTATTATAGTACCATGTACTATTTATATACAATAATAACATTATCGCCGTAACATATTGTCACACTCTATTACTCTAAGAAATGTTTGGTAAATCTTTAAAGAAGTGTCTTTTACGCCCGTGAAAAAACATTGTTGAATTAAATTAATGAATGTAATAATTGTCTTACCCATTATAGTAATCATACACAATTAAATTCATAATTCAGAACATGAACAACAGAAAGAAATCCCCTTTGATCTGCTTAGGTTGTTTGCTTCAAGCTACAATTAATGCTGTGGTGATTTCATCGCTACAACAGCTCAATAAATGTTCTCTGTACCATGAGCTGGTTTAGTCCACTCATACACTTTCAAATTCTCTGTCAGACAAAATGAACCGTTTCACACATACTGTGCAGCACTGCTTCGGAAACCAAAATCTAGATTAAAGATACAACATAGGCTTTCTTAGTATAATTTGTGACGACAGAATGAAAAGGCAACAAACCCGTTCCTTCTCAAGAGGTCTGTAACAGAGCCATATCTTAGGCTGTAAATGCAAAGCCAGAGGGGTACAAATGCCTATCCAACAGAGGCGTAATGGTATGTGCATTTGTCACAAACTTTATAGAGCATGATGTTTGCTTCAGGATGAGAATTCCTTTGCTAGGTGTGCCATGTGATCCAAACTATGACAGAACTGTATTTGTGTCAACATACTCGCACTCCTGGAACAAAACTACAAAAATGTGGGTTCCACACTGAACATTTTGACAGTGCACCAGTTGCTGTTATTAGCTACAGTATGCCAGCAGGGTTAGTGTTGAAAGCCAGCAGGTACTGTATTCAGTTTTGCTCAGCTTGTTTACTCAAACTGCATGTTTTAATTAGCCTTCCCACACATCTAATATCTTTAACTTCATTGCCCATTGTATGTAAAACCAAGGCCCTGCTCACTTTCCAATACCAATAAGGTTTATTGAAACAAGATGGCTGTGTTGTCAACATGTTGGCAAAAAGAGAGAAAGGCAGCCGCACTTTGTGTGACTCTGATGATGAAATTGCACTGCTGACTTTGATACTTGACTTAGGTCAACTATGAATACGTTGCATGTCTCTTAATGGACATTTTTTTAATATAATTTCTCATACTTGGAAAAACAGGCTTTCATATTGACAGTATGCAGCATTCAAATGCCTCAACTGTTAGAGCAAACACTATGACTAACCGAACGCTGGAATGTCTTAAATTTTTGAATGTAAATAAATGTCAAAAATGTTCATTCATGCATGTTATTTGTTTTCTCTGCTATTCCTAAAATATACTAAACTGTGACTCTAAAGCCAAGGTACATACCAAGTGATGATATTTGTGTACACCTACTCTTAAAGTTGAGCCTGATAGGCAGAGAGGAGCCAGCATCCACTGTAATGCTCCTCATGCTGATGGAGCATGGAGTCTGATGCTGCTAGATGGGGCGTTTCTAATACATTCTTACCTCTGGCCATGGGGATTTGGGGTATTTGCAGGACTTGAATTCTGTGAGTTCCCTGGACTGCTGCTATGGCTGCTACCTATGATGGAGCAAAACAAAGTTTATAAGGACAAGAGAAAGCAATGCAAGTTTATAAATAACTGCCATACTGTGCAAGCCAAAGTTTGTCTCACATTTAAACAAAGAAGAAAACATTCACAATTAGCATGCTTTAGAAAGAAAAGCAGTAATATTAGTGACAGTTCTGTAATCTTCTTTACAGGAACACATGACAGTTCTTCCTCCAAGACATTAAGGCAATATAAGAAAATGATAAAAAGGATAACTATTGTTATCTGCTACTACATTTCTACTGTCAACCCCGCTTAGTTCATATCTTCTTAATAGAATTTTCTCATAACCAGAGGTTTGTCTAAATCAGGGGACCCTGGGACCCACATTTTCCCATGGTCATTAAGTCGCGACCCAATTTTTTTTAGAATTCAATATTCAACATATTTTCCTGTGCAACATGCATTTCAGAGCATATAACCATGCATAGTAACTGGACCATAGCAAGTGCATGTACAAAACTGCACAAAATAAAAAAGGGCATAAAACAACAGATTTTCACTCAATTTTGAGCAAATTAATAAGAAACTAAGGAGGACCATGACAACTGCATGTACAAAAGTGAATACAATAAATATCAAAACTACTCAAAAATAAAGGGTGAGGTGGGAGGTATATTCTGAGATCAAAATTGATATCCTGATTCCAGCACAGCGAACGAATAGTTGGCTATCCGGGTCCAGCCCTAGTATGAAAACCCACATTTTAAATACTCTGGGTCATGTTTGCGCTTTGCCACCTTGCATCCCAACATCAACACAAACTTAAAATGAACGTCAAACAAATTGTGGTCACCATGCCTGTCAAAATAAAAGTTTTTTCAAAATAAAAAATAAGTCCAACCTGAGACGCACATTTTATATTATTTAATTTTAACCAGCCGTCCGCGACCCACCCAGAACAGCTGTATTACAATTTCAACCAAACAACAATTGCTCAACAGTTGATAATGTCTTGATTTCTCAAGTTTCATGAGCTAAAATTTCTCCCTCAGATAGCCTCACAATGTCCCATTTAAGCTTAAATTTTTTCAAAGGCTTCGCAAAACCATCAACGTACACTTAATCAAGTAGTTGCACTAGAATACTGTATTCACTGTATTTACTCATTAAGGCTAATACGATAATCATAAGTAATTGAATCAATACTGAGATCATGATTATTAATTGATTTTAAGGACAATTTTTTTATTTCACTTTCATTTTAAAATAGAGCTTTGCTTTCATGTCCATGCTGTGCTTCATCTCTAACATTGTACAAATGTTTGCCCTAAAAGAAGACTGGTCCTTATTCACAACACATCTCCTAGATGCAAAATATTGTGCTGTATTTCCACCCCCCCTCCCCAAAATTTTAGCAACAGAGGGCTTTCAATTTGTGCAATATGGTGACACGCTGTATAGAACTGAAGTTATGGATATCAGGAGTTGATACTTGACAAGGACGGGACATCAGCAAGCTAACGGTACTAAAGATATTCTTCACAGCCTCATGCACTCATTGTACTGCAGTTTGCGTTTTTTTTTGGTGTTGTTTTGTTTTAATTAAAAGATTGTTAAACAAGTTAGTTGTATTTCTTGGCAGCAGAGACACAAGTCTCATGCATGCTTTGCATATTATGTTCTTATCATCACTTCCCCCAATCTACAACACTTCTAAATATCAGATGAAAACCTGTCCCAAGGCACTCTCTCTTAAGCTTCTGCTCCAGTTATTTTGTTTTGCCCATCAGATCTGTCCTGCGTGTTACCATTCTACTACCAGCAAAGTTTTACATGGGAAGCCACTGCAGGGGTGTATGCACAGTAGCATGAAAGCTCACTGTAAGAGAAACCAAAACATCTTGTCCACTCCCTGATAGCTGGCTGCTAGTTTAGGAAATGCGTACCGTAATCAGATATGCAGTGGTTTTGTACAAACAGATAAGATATTTTAAAAATTGTTAACAAGGTCAAACATGTTCACTTAATTGTGAGGAGCCAACATTGGGATTGAGGTTAACATTTGAATAATTGTGCAGCCCTGTTACTAATATTTACTCAGTTAGCAAATGTTAGAAAATTACAAATGCCAAATCTGTGTGAAAAGTCAATACCAGTTACATTACACAAAAAGAACATATGTAGTATTTTTTTACATCTGCAATTAACCACGGCAAGTCTTATAAACACAAAACAAAACCTGCAAGATGCAAAAAGCCTATTTTTCACCGTCTTAGGCATGGCTGGAGCCACAAGCACTTCAATTCACTATGATAAATGATACCGCTTTGCATATTAAGTCATTAAATCACATGTACAAAACATACTAATTCTTTCACAACATGTCCAAGGAGTTTTCAGTAAGAACTCAGTGGGATATCTGAAATTAAACTAAAAGCTTGCTGTGGGTTCAACTGTCATGCAAACCTGAAAGGCCATGAAACAGATCATTAATTAACCTTTGTTTTAATTGCGAAAGGGTTATGTATTTTTTAAATTCTTTGACAGTTTTTAACCAAGTCACCAAGGTTGTTATTGGTTCTAACTGGGAAAAACAAAACTATTGGATCCCCTACATGATAAGGATATTTAACCAAACTGAAGATGCTGCCAAATCTAAACAAAATGGGGAAACTGGTTAAAAATCTTTCGTAAGGATTATGCGGAGGAAATGTTCCTTTAATTTAAGTAATTGAAGAAATTTTTGTGCCCCGTCTGCATGCATCATCCCTGAGATATATACACTTGTGATACGTCCAAAAGGGTGTCTATCAGAAGTATTATAAACTGTTTGTGTAATCAACTGTTGAACAAACTGTTCACCAGCTAAAAACACCGAAGTCCACTCACCGGATCTGAACTGCACATGGATAGTTCTCCCGTACAGCGACGTCCCGTTGAGCAGCTCCATGGCATAAGGCACGGACACTTCATGTTTGTAAACGGCAAAACCAAACGTTTTCTGCTTCCCGTCCGCGTCTTTTGGAATTTTGGTTTTGATCAGAGGTCCTGCCTGCAAAAACAATCAGTAAACGTTATACAGAAACCTGACAACTAAAGCTAACGAGAGCTACCTAGCTCGCTACTGTACTGTGAACCAGTGAACCGTTTACGGTGTCTGCACAACAGGCATTAGCTTTGCAAAACAGGTAAAGGAGACGCAATCGTAAAGAAAGAAGAAAAAAAAAACAACAAGGACAGACCACTTCCAACCTTTACACTTTGGGTCACTTCAAATTTACAACGCTTTCTGTGTGTTAGCACTACCGTTGGCTAGCCGCTACGTGTGTTATGCTACCAACACAGCGTTAACACCGTGTAATGTTGTCGGTAACAGCACCTGTAAAAACAGCTCGAACAAAAGCTCCTCCGTCACTCTCGTGTCTAAATTTCTTATGAAGAGCGTCCGGTCAGTTTCCTCCTCTATCCCCATTGTATTTGAGCAAACAAGTGAAACTCTCCGAGGGGCTAACGTTTAGCTGGTAAGGCGCTCTGCTGCGACATCAACGGAAGGCCTTCCTTGCCGCTAAGTGACGTGCCGCAATGCTTGAGTTTCCGTCGTGGTGAGCAGTGGTTATTTCACGACACATTATATGTCAGTATATGCTGAAAAAAAAAAAATCGCCATTTCGTTTGATCAGTGTGTCATTTAAAAAAAAAAAAAAACTACCTAAGTAGTTTGGATTTTTCTTTATATTTTCCTTTGTTTTCTGAATTACTTCATTAGTCTAAACACAGCATAGAAGAGCTGCTGAATTAATGTTTTGTTGTGTTTAAGTGGTTTACATTATCATGTTTCACGAAAACTTTAATTTACTTAATTTTTTTCTCAGGTGGGCTGATGTCTAAGCATTTTTTCAACTTTTTTTTTCTGCTCATGTCAAAAATATCTGTAAAATAGGCAGCATAATTACTGGCCTGCAAAAGTAAATAAACAGTTCCCACAGAAAATGAATGCTGCTTTACATTTCCACATATCCCACTTTTCCCTTGCTCATCTTTATATTTAACAAAAAAAATAAATAAATCCATGGCAGGCCTAGTTCACAGTAATATATCTTGCTTTACAAAGCCCAGATGGGATATTTCACCTTTTTTGCTAATGATGTCATTCGTCTCCTCTTTGACTGCCTGTCTGTAGCACACACTGGGTCAGTGGCTCAAGGAACTGAGTGCTTCTGATGCTGGCGACAGCATTCAGTATGGAGGTCAAGTGAGCAGCATGAGAGGCTTTACTCCCATGCTAATCAGATGAGCCTCGGTGTCTGTGCCCCATATTAATTAGATCAATTTAAACTGTAATGATTTTCTCCTTCATGCCTGGGACATGGTTAAGCTTAAGTGGGGGAAACAGGGATGGTACATCCGCAACAATTTGAAGACACCCTGTATCTTATAATTTTCTTGTTGTTAAATTGCTATGTGGATGATCACAGTGAACTTATAGCTTATAGCCATTTTAGACGTATCTAATCCACACCTTGCAATCTGTATGATGTATGTATTCCATGCAAGGCGGAGTTTCCAGACTTGTGTGGCAATAAACATTGCAATTCAACGCAGAATCTTGGCTGTCAGCATGTCTTGAGGGATCTGTACTGTTGTGCATAGCTGTTAACACTTGATGTATTAGATTTAAAGGCACACTCCCACAAAATGCTTATGATTTATAATTGTGCAAGGTTGCAATGGAAGCAGTAAAAAAAAAAAAAACGGAACCATAAAACCACACCTGTGCCATATACTATTTGACAACTAAAGCCCTTGAATCTATTTTTGGTTCCAACATTGCCATTATCCCATACATCTCCCTGATGATAACCATCCC